GGCATACAAATAAAATTAAACCTAAACCTAAACCTAAAATCTCATCAGAGAAGAATAATAGAAAATTGGACCTACAATGCTTTATATTGTTGTGAACATTGCCTCTCTGTGTTCAGATTCAGTACTGTTAATCAAACACCATGATTCAGGCTGCTTACTATTGTGGAACAAAAACATGTATTCATTTAGACAAGGCTGCTCTGCTAGTGGTTTTTTCAGCCGAGGCAGAGATGGATACCTCATAATCTATTTTTATTCATGGTGTTCAAGAAAATTCTTAAGTAACTCAAAACTTTAGTTTAGGACACTGCATTAATCTAGCATGGGGCTAGGAAGTGTGGCATTCAGTGTGTTGTAGGAGGCCAGTCACAATCTTAGCAGGATGTATTAATCATAAATCATCAGAAGCCTAATTTTGGGGGGGCAGAATATTTTATATGAGCAGAACAAATTTGAATCTGGTTTTAAAATTTGCATGTTGCGTGAACTCAGGCAGAAATGCTGAGCCTATAAAGAGCTAAACAAATTTGATAGAATGAGACAATTGGAAGGTACTTTACGAGTCCATCTCCTACTCAGGGCAGAACAGGTAATCCTTGACTTACGTTTGATTAGTCACCATTCAAAGTTACAACAGCGCTGAAAAAAGGGATGTATGACCATTTTTCACCCTTCAACCATTGTAGTATCCCCATGGTCACATGATTTACATTTGGATGCTTGCCAATTGGTTCATATTTATGACAGTTGGAGTGTCCCGGGGTCATTTGATCACCTTTTCAAACCTTATGGCAAGCAAATCAAAGGGAAAGCCAAATTCACTTAACAACTGTGATACTAACTTAACAACTCTAGTGATTCACTTAACAAAGTCATGACATGGGTCAAAACTCGCTTAACAAATTTCTCACTCAACAACACAAATTTGAAGTTCAATTGTGATCATCAGTAGAGAACAACCTGTAGCCCTAGGGCAGTGTTTCTCAACCTTGGCCACTTGAAGATGTCCGGACTTCAACTCTCAGAATTCCCCAGCCAGCGAATGCGAATGGCAAGCAAAGTCAAAGCGAATGCTGGCTGGGGAATTCTGGGAGTTGAAGTCCAGACATCTTCAAGTGGCCAAGGTTGAGAAACACTGCCCTAGGGCATCTTAAATAGAGCTTCAGCATATGATTTTCCTTGTATCTTTCTGAGCATGTGTATCTATTGCTTTTCTTAATGCAGATTTGGACGAAAAATAAGCCTTTTAATTTCTGTCCTGGTAACTTCAATCTCTGGAGTACTTGTTGCCTTCTCACCAAACTACTTATGGTCTGTGATATTTCGTTTCATCCAAGGCCTGTTCAGCAAGGGCAGCTGGATGGCCGGTTACAGTTTGCGTAAGTATGACACTTTCCTACAGATTGGAATTCTGCAAGAGGACAGAATCTAACATATTAGTGGAACCCATTTAACTCTTTTAAAAAAAGAGTTTTAATCTTTAACACTGTTTCCTAAATTAGTAGTAATCAAGTCCAACTCTAATAAATCAAACCTATTCTTGAAACTCAAAACTAAAATTTTGAATACATTTAATAATTCCAGGAAAAAGATGTCTCTGAAGCTTTAAGAAATATTTTATATTAGATTAAAGAAAAGGATAAAGGTTTCCCCTGCCCAATCATGTCTGATTCTAGGGGGCAGCAGTGCTCATCTCCATTTCTTAGTTGGGGGAGCCAGCATTTTCCAAAGACTTCCGTGATCATGACGCTATGCCAAGGAACATGGAACTCTGTTATCTTTCCATCAGTGTAGCAGGGCTGGGTTTCGACCGGTTCGCACCGGTCCCTGCGATCCGGTTGGTCGCCGAACCCGGAAGTAAGTAACTTCGGGGAACGGCGAAGCCCCCCCCGCGCCCGCGCACGCCCGCACACCCGCGCCCGCTCCTTACCCGGTTTTTTCGAATTTCGCGCTTTCCACGCAT